CACAGAAATGGCACCCCCAGTGCGCATTTGACATGGAATACCTGAGTGCGGCGTCTTCTCACGTCTGCAAAGGTGTACACGCGCTAAGGATCTCTGACGATGGGTACGCATTGGCACCCGGACCTCGTGCCTACAACTGCGATGCCCACCCCTACTGGTGGACGGTCATGGGCATCTCACCGTCGAAATGACAGTATCGCCCGGCATCCGAGAAACCTGGCAAGTCTCAGTGGCCATGAGGCGGACATGTGGCTGTCGCGGGCGCGGCAATTTCGCCATTGATGGCCTTCTGTAGGCACCATGTTGGCCTGGGTTTCCATCCCTGTCGATGGACAGGCATGGGCATCCGATCCTTCGGCCTAGAAAAAGGATGTTCATCCCTGTTGGTGGGCAGGCAAAAGACTCCCGTTCTCGCAACTGAGGTTTTGCTGGGCACCAGGAGCTTGAGCTGGGTAAGCGGCTCTGGTGCGGAAACTTCGCAATTGCGGGCGAAGCAACCTTCCGATGTCGAGGGGGCGCCGTGTTAGCCTGGATGCCCATCCATCCCCGTCGATGGACAGGCATTGGCATCCGTTCTTCGTGCCCAAAGCCCATCCCTGTCGAAGCACAGTGATTGCATCCTGCCCTCCCTATGAAGACGCTGCTGCCTTTCCAGTGGCTGATATGGAACTCATATCGAGGCGAAACGGGCCCCGTGGTGGGCCGCGGGGTAAACGGCACGATGCGTGAGGCGGGAGGGCAGGTCAGTTGTGTGCTACTTACTGTACGTACAGGCACACGCGGTGAAAGTCATCGTGCCCATTGAATGAATCAGAGTAGGGGAAACGATAGGGAAACAAACAATGACATGAACATACAAGCTCGGAGGTCCGCGCGGATTTCTCGAATTCGCGCTGGAACCCCCTGGCGGCGCCTCCGGAGCCGCCTCTGGCGCGCTCCGCGCGCCAGGGAGCGGGGTCCAGCGCCGATCCGAGAAATCCGCGCGGAGCTCAGAGTTTTTATGTTTATGTCATTGCTTGTTCCCCTAAAGCAGGGCGGAGCCGATTTTGCAGACAGTCTCACATCGCGTCCCCCTGCAGCACGTTGAGGCCTCTGACCACGCCCCCTCGCCACCGTTCTCGGACGTCCATTCATCATGGATTTGTTGGTTTCGTGCGCACTTGTTTCGCAAGATGACCCAAAATGCTCCTCGGAAAACTACACACGTCCGAGCGATGCCAAAGCCCCCAGCCCTCTGGAGAAATCTGGGCAGACTCCAAAGGGGATCCGCCTGCAGCGACGAGGTGGAAGCCTAGGGAAGCCTACTCAGTCTTTTCCACGGTCCAGCTTCAACATGAAGGGGTCTTCGGGATTTTTCTTTAGGTCGGGCGTGTCCTCCTACAGCGGGATTTTGGACGAAAAATAAAACAAATCCAAAAATACCCCCGAATAACCAAAACTGATAGGAAATCGTCCCCAGACTATGTTTGAATAGTCCTCCTGTAGAGGGACATGCCCGACTTAATCTTGTCCCCCCAAAGCAGGCACGAGGCGCAGGCTGAACCGTCGCACTCGAGGCAAGACGTGGCGCCTGGACGAAGCCAGTGAGGCTTCTGGGGAACTCTGCATCGACCCCGTCGTGTCGCTCCGCTGTTGTCCCGACCTCGAATGCTACACTATTCGGCGGTGGACACACCTCCCTAAAACGGCCAAGGACCGAAAGCGACGGACCTGGACCCGCAAAAATGACGGCCGCGACGCCCTCTCGCGAACCGAAAACGGCCAGTTCGCAAATCGACGTGTCAGGGTAGGAGGTTATCGACCCCCGAACTATGGTGGTACACCAGGCCTCCGGTCCCACCATCGGGGCTGAAGGCGCCCCTGAGCCATCTCACATCAATCATCCTCTCACCCCGCTGGTGCTCCCTCCGCCCTCTCCCGCCCACTCCCCACCCCTTCCCTTCCACGGTGAACGTGTTCTGGATCGGCGTTTCGACATTGGGCGGAAGGGGTGGGGGGAGAGTGGGGTCTGGCTCCGGACCTCTGCTCAGTGCGACTGTTTGCAACAGTGCGTCTCATGGGGGAGACTCCACCTGCCTGAAACAGGCGCCAAAAACAGCCACGATTTACTCCATGGGGGGGGGGATGCGAGGGCCCGCGCCGATCGGCAAACCAATGAAGAAGAAAACGATCACATGGGATGGGGGTCGGGGGGAAGGGAGGATGTGGGGGGGCTTGAGGGGACCTGGAGATTTGGCGCTTCGGTTTATTCGATGCGTGGGCCCCCGATCTCTCGATCCTATTCCCAGGGTCAGTTCTTCACTCCAGAGCAATGCTTGACTGTCCTGAGGCCTGAAACCAGCCTCCAGAACCCCTCCACCGCCCCCCCCCCCCCACACACACACACACTCACACACACACTCTCACACACACACACACTGTGCACACAAATGCACGCACGCACGCACGCACGCACGCACGCGCACACACATGCATACATACATACATACATACACACACACACTGTACACACATGCACACACGCACGCACGCACGCAAGCACGCACGCACGCACGCACGCGCACACATACATACATACATACATACATACATACATACATACATACATACATACATGCATGCATGCATGCATGCATGCATGCATGCATGCATGCATACATACATAAATGCATGCATGCATACATACATACATAAACATACATAAACATGCATGCATGCATGCATGCATGCATGCATGCATGCATGCCTGCCTGCATGCATGCATGCATACATACATACATACATACATACATACATACATACATACATAACTACATACAGACATACATGCATGCATGCATACATACATACATACATACATGCATGCATGCATGCATGCATGCATGCATGCATGCAGACGGACGGACGGACGGACGGACGGACGGACGGACGGACGGACGGACGGACAGACAGACAGACAGACAGACATACACACACGCGCACACACACACGGTGTCACTCACACACAAACCAAAACTCGCCGCTTACTCTTTCTCGATGCACCCAACGCATGGGGATGCAGTTGCGGGGAAAGGGGTGTCGGGGATAGATCGGCGGTGGACAAACCTCCCTTTAGTACATCACCGTTTAGTAAAAACGGCCGAGGACCGAAACCGACGGACCCGGACCCGCAAAAATGACGGCCGCGACGCCCTCTCGCGAACCGAAAACGGCCAGTTCGCTAATAGACGTGTCAAGGTAGGAGGTCAATCGACCCCCGAACGGAGGTGTGGAGTACAGCCGAGCTGAAGAGAAACAGGGAGTCTCTTCCGAGTCCGAACTGCCCGTCACCTCAGCGCCTCGACCGTAGAGGAGAAACAGGCAGTGCAGGAAGACTCGGAGGGAGGGGGGGGGAGCGGGAGGCGGGCGTGCGACAAGCTCGTGCCCCGACGACGATCGGGGGCGCGCAAACATGGATTAGCGATCCATAGATTTGGCGTGCAATCCACGGATCGGGGGAGGCGCCCTCCCCAACACGCGGCCGGTGCCGCCCCGTTCGGCGGCGGAGATCCGCGAGTTCCCATTGAAACGGGACCCGTCGCTAATCCACGCCCCCTTGATCCACGTTTGCGATCGCCAGAAGCAGGCTGGCGTGCGACGGGCTCGTGCCCCGACGACGACCGCCGCCCCCGCTCTTGGAGGTCCCCCAGAAACCATCGGCCCCATCCCCCCCGCGCGCGAATTTCGCGCCGCGATCTCTCGCGTCGGGGGAGAACTAACATGCCTTGGCGGTCTGTCGCTGCTCGAGGGCATCGGAGCCCCGGCACGGGACCCTGGGACCTCCCCAGAAAGGACTCGGGATGAAGAGCTGGTCTTAAGTCGAACACGTCCCTCTACAGGAGGAATAGGGAAAAATACAAAAAAAAGTCTGGGGGCGATGTTCGACTGATTTTGACAATTGAATATGGTTTGGCTACTTTTCATTTTTCTGTAAAAGTCCGCCTGTAGGAGGACATGCCCGACCCAAAGCTGGTCCTTGAAAAGGCCCTGACCGATTCTGTACCCCGGGTAACGGTCGTTACCCGGAGGGGTCGGGCGGGAGGGTAACGGGTAACGGTGGCCGCGGCGTGCACCCGCCAGGGTTTGCCAGCGTCACCGGCGCATCAATCGCCCGCGTGCTCCACAGCATGTAGCGGGGGCGTCCAAATCCACCCCTACCCCCCCGGACGATCGTTAGCGTTACCCGGGAGAAGAGGGGGGTGGCCCGGGTACAATCGGACCTACAACAGAAAAACAAACTTCAAGAACACGAGACCCTCCGCCGGCCCAAACGTACAGAACATCCGAGGGCACCCTCTCCAGGATGCACGAGAGCATCCAACGAACACGGAGAACACTAGGGTACCCTCCCCGAGCCGACCTCGATCTTATATCTCAGTCTGGCTGTAACGAGCGTTACCCTGGGAGGGGGAGGGGGAGGAGGAGGAGGAAGAGGAGGGTGAGGAGGAGGGGAAGAGGAAGAGGAGGAGGAGGAGGAGGAGGAGGAGGGGGACGAGGAGGAGGAGGAGGAAGGAGGAGGAGGAGGAGGAGGAGGAGGAGGAAGAGGAGGGGGAGGGGGAGGAGGAAGAAAAAGAGGAGGAAAAGGAGGAGGAGAAAGAAGAGAAACAAAAACACTCACCCCAGGGTCTGGGACCCGTGCCCCTGTAGGACCCCATGGCGAGAACTTCGCGCTGTCGGCTCTCCGCGGGCCCTAGAAACCCCTACAGGGGGAATTTGGACGACAAATGAGAAAGAATCAAAGCAAATCAAACAAAAAACAGCCAAGAGCACCGACAAAAATACCCCCTGACTCTTTTTTCGACTATTATTGAATCTTCCTCCTGGAGAAGGACACGCCCGACCTAACCCTGGGACCCAGAGCAGGCCCCCTGAGGGCGCTCAAAACCTCGACCGGCCGCGCCGGCGCCGCCGCCGCAGCGGCGCGGCGCGAACCCGCCGCTTGCAGGGGGCGCCGCTGGAGCCTCAAGGCGAAGGGCTCGTTCAAGCTCTCTCCGCTGAGCATGCCGTCGGGGTCGGGCACGATGGAGAGCTCGACGGACACGTTCGCGTCCAACCCCTGCGCTGAGGACGGGGGAGAAGGAGGGAAGACCAAAAACACTGGGCATCGCGATTTTTGCCGCAGCGTGGCTCCACTGAACTATAAGAGGCCTTCCAAGAGACCGGTTTTTCGTTCTGAATTGTTTTTGGACGGCCCCAAGGCCTGGCAAAACACCCAAGATGCAGAAAACAACCGCAAACCAACCGTCGTAATTTCCCACGACGCAAGGATGTCAGGGGAGGGAATGAATGGAGGAAGGAGGACAGAGAGACAGAAAGAGAAAAATAGGGAGAGAGAGAGAGAGAGAGAAACAAAAAACAACGAAGCCTGAAGGCCCAGACTGTACGACAACTCCCGTGCGGAGGGCGCTTCCACCAGGACGCTGGACCAGCGGTTCAGACCGCTCACCTCGGCTGCATGGAGCGTGAAATTGAGGGACCCCAAATTCGGAATGTTGACGTTGCCAGAAACGGGCAGCTTGTAGAGCGTACCCAGAGAGAGATAACCCTCGGGCCCAAGAAATCTGCTCGCGATGGAGTTCAGGCTGAGTGTGTTGGACGCGTTGCCGAGGACGTGAACGGTAATCTGCTTGATCAGCTTCATCGCCGGATTGGTCGCCAAATCGACTAAGTCTGAATTCGGATCGGACAGGTGTGGCGACGCCGACGCCGGCTTGGCCCCCATCTGGAAGCGGACCTCGTCGCCGAGACTCCGCAGCGCCCCCGTGCCGTTGACGCGGGCGGCCTCCTGTGGCAACGCGCGCGGAGAGCGGCGGACGGGGGGGGGCGTCCATCTAGCCAAGCGGGGGCCTTCTCAAACGGGCCTGGAATTCCACGCGGCGTCCTTGTAACCTTGCGGGGAGCATTTGCCCGTGCGCGTTTTTTTTTTTTTTTATTCGGCGTTTCGACATTGGACGGAAAGGGGGGGGGTCTGGCTCCGGACCTCTGCTCATTGCGACTTTGTTTGCAACGCAACGTCCTGCGGGGGAAGCCCCACCTGCCTGAAACAGGCGCCCGAAACAGCAAAAATCTACTCAACGGGGGGGGTCGGGGGCGCGCAAACATGGATTGATCCATGGATTTGGCGCGCGGTCGCATAATCCACGGATCGGAGGAGGCGCCTTCCCCCGATAACGCGGCCGGCGCCGCCTCACTCGGCGGCGGGAATCCACTTTTCCCTACGAAAACGGGACCCGTCGCTAATCCACGCCCCAATTGATCCATGTTGGCGATCACCTGAGGAGGGGGGGGCCCGCTTGCCTGAAACAAGCGCCTGGGAACATCTACTCCGCGGGGGGCGGGGGCTGGGGCGAGGGCCCGCGCCGATCGGCAAAACAATAAACAAACAAACGGTCCCAGTGAGCAGTTTTTGCTTCTCGGGGGGGGCTTGGAGGCCTGCGAGGCGCCCCCCCCCCCCCCGCTGATTCCTTGGAACAACCCTCTGGGCACCCAAAGCAGAGGGCCCGCGCGCCTCGCACGCCGACCCCCCGCGCGCGCAGGGTTCCCTGCTCCCCCCCCCCCGTTTTCCTCCCCCGTTCCCTCCCCCTTCCCTCCGCCCCGCCTCCGCCTCCGCCCCCACCCCCTCCTCCTCCTCCTCCTCCTCCTCCTCCACCTCCTCCTCCTCCTCCTCCTCCTCCTCCTCCTCCTCCTCTCCTCCTCCTCCTCCTCCTCCTCCTCCTCCTCCTCCTCCTCCTCCTCCTCCTCCTCCTCCCTCCTCCTCCTCCTCTCCTCCTCCCTCCTCCTCCTCCTCCTCCCCTCCTCCTCCTCCTCCTCCTCCTCCTCCTCCTCCCCCTCCTCCTCCTCCTCCTCCTCCTCCTCCTCCTCCCCTCCTCCTCCTCCCCCTCCTCCTCCTCCTCCTCCTCCTCCTCCTCCTCCTCCTCCTCCTCCTCCTCCTCCTCCTCCTCCTCCCTCCTCCTCCGCCTCCTCCTCCTTCCCCCCCTCCTCCTTTTCCCCCCCCCTCCTCCTCCTCCCTCCTCCTCCCCTCCTCCTCCTCTCCCTCCTCCTCCTCCTCCTCCTCCTCCTCCTCCTCCTCCTCCTCCTCCTCCTCATACCTCCTACCTAACTGAACGGCCATTTCCTCTGACTCGGGCCGCGCGGCACTGATGCCGCTCCAAAAATGAGCCTGGGTGGCCTCAGGTCATCTGATTGGGCCCGCGCTTCGACGCCCGTCGGAGCGATCCCCATCCTCGAGGAAATTCACGAGACGCCTTCCACCGTTGGTGATGGTCTCTGGCCTGCACACAGCGCCGAGGTTCTGAAAGCTGGCGGCGCCCCCCCCCCGTGGAGTTGATAAAACCGCGTGTGCGTACAACTTCGTTTTGCTGCGTTGCATCGCCGTCACTAGCATCATCATCATCGGCATCAGTTGACAAAGTTGTGCGCGCGTGTACATGCGTGTTTTCATACTATCACACAGTGCGTTATCATATCATCGCTGTCGCGACCCAAGCATCCCCAGAGATGTGCGATCTGGTGGCAAACAATCCGTGCGTCGAATCCATCAACATGGCGACTGCGACGACGATCGTGCGATTATGGCAGTACTCGATAGCAGGAAGGTGATCGAGCCTCAAACCAGCTACGGAAGAGAGTACCCGAGTTGAGAACTTCACTTGATATCTTCCCATATGGACAACACACATATGATGATGATGATGATGACGAGTATGTGTTTCAAGATGCTGCTGATGAGGATGGTGATGACAAGTATGTGTTTCAAGATGCTGCTGGTGGCGATGATGATGACGAGTATGTGTGTCAAGATGCTGGTGATGACGATGATGATGACGAGTATGTGTTTCCAGATGCTGCTGATGACGATGGTGATGACAAGTGCGTGTTTCAAGGTGCTGCTGATGACGATGGTGATGACGAGTATGTGTTTCAAGATGCTGCCCTTTCCTGTCGTGCCCCCGCCCTATCCTCGGAGATGGCGGTTTCTACATAACCCTGGGATCCCCAAGATCATCCCCAGTCAGGGGCAGGTCGCGAGCACCAGAAATGAGAGTTACGAATCTTCTGGTATGCGTTGGGGGTAATCCATTATCATAATGGGCCTCACAGGGCACCATCGGGAAACACAGTCCACCAGACTAAAGGAATAACCCCCTGGGTCTGAGCACCCATAGCGGGTTCCATAAGTCCTCCTCTCTTTCCTCCTCTTCCTCCTCCTCCTCCGCCTCCACCTCCGTCTCTTCCTCCTCATCCCTCTTACTTCCAGTGGGTGAGCGCCGAAGCGCGTTCCAGAGGGACATCTTAAGCCTTAATCCCTCGATTCTCCTGCATCCGGAGGCCCGAAGCAAACATGAGCGAATTACCGGATTAGTTGTTTTGCAGCGGGTAACAACACAAATCCTTGTGTGATTAACTACAAATAGAATCTGCTGGCAGGTTATGACAATGTTGATAACGATTATGCTTCGCAAGGGATTCCGAAGGCCATTGCGGCGATAAGCGCGTGTTTCAAGATGCTGCTGATAACGACGGTGGTATCACGAAGACGATGATGGTGACAAGTATGTGTTTCAATATGCTGATGGTGACGATGGTGATGACAAGTACGTGTTCCAAGATGTTGCCGATGACGATGGTGATGACGAGTATGTGTTTCAGGTTGCTGATGATGACGATGATGATGACAAGCATTTGTTTCAAGATGTTGCTGATGACGATGGTGATGACGAGCATGTGTTTCAAGATGCTGCTGATGACGATGGTGATGACGAGCATGTGTTTCAAGATGCTGCTGATGACGATGGTGATGACGAGCATTTGTTTCAAAATGCTGCTGATGACGATGGTGATGACGAGCATGTGTTTCAAGATGATGCTGATGACGATGGTGATGACGAGCATTTGTTTCAAGATGCTGCTGATGACGATGGTGATGACGAGCATGTGTTTCAAGATGCTGATGATGACGATGATGATGACAAGCATGTGTTTCAACATGCTGCTGATGTCGATGGTAATGATGACGATGATGTGTTTCAAGATGCTGCTGATGACGATGATGATAATGATGACGAACATGTGTTTCAATATGCTGCTGACGATGATGATGATGATGACGAGCATGTGTTTCAACATGTTGCTGGTGATGGTGATGACGAGCATGTGTTTCAATGCTCTGCTGATGACGATGGTGATGACGAGCATGTGTTTCAAGATGCTGTTGATGACGATGGTGTTGACGAGCATGTGTTTCAATATGCTGCTGATGACGATGGTGCTGACCAGCATGTGTTTCAAGATGTTGCTGATGACGATGGTGATGACGACCATGTGTTTCAAGATGCTGATGATGACGATGATGGTGATGACGAGTATGTGTTTCCAGATGATGATGGTGACGATGATGATGATGATGACGAATATGTGTCTCAAGATGCTGCCCATGACGATGGTAACGACGAGCATGTGTTTTAAGATGCTGCTGATGACGATGATGATGATGAGTATGTGTTTCAAGATTCTGCTGATGACGATGGTGATGACGAGCATGCGTTGGGAGCAATGCGTTGTCATAATGAGCTTCACAGAGCACAATCGAATGGGAAACACAGCCCACCAGACTAAGGGAATAACTCCCTGGGGCTAGGCACCCATAGCAGATTCCATAAATTATCCTCTCTTTACCCTTCTTCCTCCTCCTCCTCCTCCGCCTCCACCTCCGTCTCTTCCTCCTCGCCCCTCTTACTTCCAGCGGGTGAACGCCGAAGCGCGTTCCAGAGAGATTTATAAGCCTTAATATCTCGATTCTCCGGCCTCCGGAGGCCCGAAACAAACATTAGCGGATTACAAATTGATTTCTTTTGTTGTTGAATTACAAAAGGGAATCCTTTTGTGGTGAACTGCACATTGTTTTATTTTGTGGCAGATTACAAAAGGATTCCTTTTGTGGAGAATTACAAAAGGACTTCTTTTGTGGGAGGATCACATGATGATTCCTTTTTGTAGCGAGTTACAACAGGGAGTCCTTCTGTGGTGAATTACAAAAGGATCTCTTTTGTGGAGGATTGCAACAAGATTCCCCTTGGTGGAGGAATACAATAGGATTCCGTGTGTGGGAAATTTCCAATTAATTTCTTGTTGAAGCCTTTTTTATAAAAAATGTTGCTGCTTCAAAACATGGGAAAATCATCGGGCACCTACAAGTTTCTCAATGTCCAATGATTTTCTGATTTTTTCCTTTGTTCTTTTGTCCCCTGGCTCACTTCCAGGAAAGCACGCAAAGGAAATCAATTTGTAATCCTCCACAAAAGGAATCCCTTTGTATTCCTCCACCAAAGGGAATTTCTTTGTAATCCTCCCCCAAAAGGGATCTTTTCGTAATCCTCAACAAAAGGAATCCTTTTGTAACCCGCCACAAAAGGAAACAATTTGTAATTCACCATGAACAGAATCCCCTTGTAATTCCCCACAAAAGAACTCCATTTTAAATGTGCTACAACAGGAATCGTTCTGCATTCCACTACTTTGAGCAATCCCTTTAGAGATGACGAAAAGCATAATCAACAGGAAAGCAAGCACATCAGAAGTAACAGACCAAAAACCGAGGTGGTACACACACACACACGGTTTTATCAACCTTACCCCCCCCCCCCACACGCACACACACGCACGCACACACGCACGCGCACACGCACGCGCACGCACACACACGCACACACACACACACGCACACGCGCGCACGCACGCGCGCGCGCACACACACACACACGCGCGCACACACACGCACACACACACACACACACACACACACACGCACACACACACACACACGCACACACACACACACGAGGGCCACGCACCAGAAAACTCCTTCAAAAACCTTGACCCTGTGGCTGGAATGCAACGCAATCGGGTATCCGACGCGCGGGCTCGAAATCCAGGCTCGGCGCCCGCTAGGCCCTGGCCTCGGCAAGCAGACGCGGCAGAAAACTCGACCTGTGGAACTCACCTGGGCCGAGTGTTGGGAGGCTGTTGCTGCTGCTGCTGCTCATGGCTGCTGCCCGCGCCTTGGCCTCGCGCTGGCAATCCTGGCGCGAGGAAGCGCCGTGCAAGGCGGGTGCAGCCTTGACGACCGCCGTCGCGACGGCCAAGAGGTGCCCGCGCACCTTCCTCGCCTTCTCGTCGATCCGCACAATTTTTGCAATATCCTGACCTGGGAGTCGGGCCTAACGGGCGGCCTCTTTCGCTGTAAGGTCAGCAAGAACATTGGCAAGCCAATGGAACGGGTCGATGCCTGCCTGCTCGGCCTCTAGGACCGTCAGTTTATAAATGTATATATAAATAAAGAAAAGATGCGGCCTCGACGGGCCTCTCACCCACCGCGGCCCAAAACAACGTCCACAGACCTGTGTTGACGGAGTGTTTACGCTTTGGGCCTGCTCGAATGCCATCCATTACAGACTGGGCATCTATGACAAACGGCAAGGGTTCTTCCGTCGCTTGAGCGGCCTCAGTCGCCGCCACGAGCTCCGAAATTGGGACAGTTTGCTTCCAGTGCTCTAAGAGGTCCGAAGGCCCATCCCACCAAGTCCCACCCGTCCAACACCGCAAAGCCCACCCACACCTGCGGACCTGGCATCATCATGGCGTTTGCCTCCTGATTCATCAGAGGCTACAGCAGTGAGCCTGGAGAGGGCGATCTTATTTCCACATAGTAAGACCCTGCCTACAACTCTGGTGCTCTGGCAAGGTCTCGTGGCATATGTGAGGATCCACAAGATTGGGACCAAGCCTCTGGACCAGAAGCACCGTGTATCTGGGTGCCCCTGTCGGGCCTCTTCTTGGAGATCCCAAGAGGCCTCCTCCTCCTCCTCCTCCTCCTCCTCCTCCTCCTCCTCGTCCTCCTCCTCCTCCTGCCTCCATGGCGGAGCAGAGCTGGGACACGATGGTGGAGCGCAGCGTCGGGATGAGCACCCTGTTGAGGAGGCTGGTCGAGAACGAGCCGCCCCGCACCCGGACCTGGGGCGCTCCCTCCCTCCTCGCCTCCGGGCTCCTCCTGGGAATCGAGCGGTCGTGCGGGTCCATCGCCTTCCCCCTTTAAGGGCGCCCAGCGTCGCGCTGCGCGCTGCGCGAAGCGCGAAGACTGCGCGAAACGCGAACAACGTCGCGTTCCCGCGCCGCCCACCAGGGGAGAAGAGGAGGACGAAGGGTCTGAGGAACAACGAGCGCCGCGAACAACGTCGCGCGCCGCGCCGCTCACCAGCGCGAACAACTCCACGCCCTCGAGGGAGCCCTTGACTGTTCTCCTCCTCTTCTGGGAGGAGGAGGGGGGAGAGAAACAAGGTGCATCCGTATCTGTGTCGTGGTCCTCCTGTCACCTCCGTCTCCCGCGCGCGCAGAGGCGCGTAGAAGCACAGTCAACCCATGGAGTGAGGATGCGGGGTAAAGATGTAAGGGCCCTGCAGGGCCATGTTGACGTTTTTCGAACCAGGTTGACCAGATAGGGATGGGCCGAAGGGGCAAGGATGCAAGGGTAATCTGGGAAAGTTGCTCATCCTTACTACTCGGGTCGACTGTATGGGGGGACGAGACTCGGAGGTCCAGTCGCGAACAGCGGCGGCACTCCCTGGTTGATCGTCCTTTTCATGTCTCTTGGAGGCTTCTCGTCGCCATGGCTGGATCCGCCCTGACAAGCAATTCAGGATGCACCCTTGGAGGGATCCAGAAACCAGTTTCCAGCGGATCTGGGCCAGGCGGAAGAGCCGCATTGTTTCAACATACCCTCCTTCGAGAGGAGGGAGGACAGAAAGGACAAGGAGAGGATGCGAACGAGAGACAACAGACCAAGCCAGAACAACTATCTGGCATTGGGTGTTTTTCCATAGGGGGGAACGCGGGGTGCGCCACCGTCGCTGCCCCGAGGTCGCCCATGGAACGTGCTCGTCCGGCAGCCCTCCCGCGAATTGTCTCTCCATCGTTTCCGCCCAACCGGCACTCCCCGTCCTCCCCCTTCCCAAGGGAACGAGAAATTACATAAACACACACACACAAAAAACCGGAGGTCCGCGCTGGTTTCTCCGATCGGCGCTGGACCCCCTCTCCCTGGCGTGCGGAGCGCGCCAAGGGCGGCGCCAGAGGCGCCGCCAGGGGGCTCCAGCACGAATCCGAGAATCCGCGCGGACCTCCGAGTTTGTAAAGTTATGCCATTGTTCCTTCCCCGACTTCCATCCCTCCTCCACACGAGTAGAGCTCATCCTCGTCGCACCACTGGCCCATACCTGTCGCCCGCACGGGGGAGAAGGGGGCGGGAGGCCCTGGTGGGGCCTCTCTCGCCCTGCACCCCAAGGTCTGTCTCTCTCTCTCTCTCTCACTGTTTGTTCTCTCTCTCTCTCTCTTTCTCTTTCTTGTTCTTTCTCCCTCCCGCTTCTATGGATTTACGTTTATGCGCATACGTGTAGGTCTGGGTGCGTAGGTACCTGGATCCGCCACCGTGCCTCAGGGGACGGAGTGGGCGCGCCTTCAGGTCCTCCCCCTTGTACTCTGAGCCTCAATCCTCACTCCTGAGGAATCTCTTTGAGGCCCGGACCTCAAATTGCCAAATCGTATTGGGCTTCTCGCGTACTCCCTCGGATTCTCGGCAGAAGCGACACAAGCGCGGATTGATCCGTCAGACGTACGCCAAGCAAACACAGTTCGCACAGCAATTGCAAAGAGATGTACTGATGTGCGAACCCGGACTAAACAAAACAGTGTGAAGGAATCCGCTGCGAAGCATCAACAAGCACAATTACAATGCTCAACAATACACTGCGATCGACCGCAAAGAATCGAACGGCCCTGGCAACCCAGGGAACGAGATTCTCGTTCCCTGGATTGCCAGGGCCGATTTTTTTTTTGAAATTCGGATAACGTAGGGACGGGGACTCCGACAAAAAACCCTGGGAACCTGGGCTGGAGGTTACAAGTGCAACCATACCCCTCGCACAGATGAATGGATAGAGAAGGGAAAGAAGAACGAGAAGGGAAGGAGGAGGGAGAAATGAGAATGCACGGGCCGCAGCAGGGATGAAAGAAGAGGGGCGGCGGAAGGAGTAACAAGGGAGGGTGTTACCCCTAGACACACCCAAGGTTTCCTAGTGTCAACCTCGCGCTTTCTTGGAGGCCTCTGAAGCCGTTTTGGGGCGAGCTTTGGGGCATCTGGGGCTTTTCTGATGCGCCAGTAAGGGCGAGCGCTGGGGCATCTGGGGCTGTTGGAGCGTCGGCAAGCCAAACAACACGAAAGCACGAAAAACCGTCGGCAAGCCGAAAAAAACGGAAGCGATGAGATTCTGGGAACTATGCTTTAGCAATTCGGTACCTCTTTGGGCTGTCCTGCAAGTCTCTTGGGTGTATTAGGGTCCTCTTGGGCAACGGGTGGGCGCCCTTGTGGGGGCCCCTGAAAGCGCGTTGGGGCGAGCTTTGGTGCTTCTGGGGCACGTGTGGAGCGAATCCAAGTAACCTGTCAAAACCCTCTGGCAAACCAGCAAATCTTGCCTCTTGGGGCGCTCTTGGGGGGCGTCTGGGAACTGCCTGGACCCGTTTGGGGGGCGTTGTGGGCCGCCCGGAAGCCGCCGAGGAGCGCGCCTCGGGGGCGGTGTGGCCCGTGAGCACCTGTGCTCACGATTTTCTGGCGACTCGGGCCCTTCTCCGGTCGTCCTGGAGGTCTCGGAGCCTTTGAAACCGTCTTGGGGCGAATGTTGGTGCTTCTGGTGGGGCTCATTTGGGGGGCGTTGTGGGCCGCCCGGAAGCCGTCGAGGAGCGCGCCTCGGGGGTGGCATGGCCCACGTTGGGGGTCGCCGTGAGCGCCTGGGCACGACCTTCTGGCGACCCGGGGCCTTATCCGGCCGTCCTGGAGGTCTCGTGGACGCCCTCGTCTGGGTGACCCAAAAAGGGGGTCCAGCTGAAAGGGGGTGGTGCAACAGATTTGGGGCAATTGTGTTGCAAATGTACTCCGCCAGAATTGTATTGGATTGTATTGCAACTAATGCATTGCGCGCGAAAATTCGGCAATACAAAAGCGCCCCGGAATGTAATGATTGCACGTCCCAAATATATTGCACCCCCCCCTCGTAGCTTGACCCCCTTTTGGCTCAACCAGGCTCGTGGGGCTTCTGGAACCGTCTTGGGGCGAAGGTTGATGCTTCCAGGGCTCATTCGGGGGCGCTGTAGGGCGCCTGGCAACCGTCGAAGAGCGCTTGTGGGGTGCGGTGCGTGCCGCGTCAGTTCCAGCATGAGCGCCTGCGCACGATTTTCTGGCGACTCGGGGCCTCCTCCGGATGTGCTGGAGGTCTCGTGGGCTGTCTTTGGCACGTCGTGGGCAATCTGGGCGCTCTGTTGGGGGCCTCTGGTTCTGTCTGGGGGTGAGCTTTTGGGTTTCTTGGGCAGTATTGTAGCGTCGGCAAGGCGAAAAGGCGGAAGCACGAAGCAAGGTTGGCTCTTGGGGCCCTCCACGGGGGTCCCTTGGAACCCTATTGTAGCATTCCAGGAGCTGTGCGGGCTGTCTGGAAGCTTTCGTGGAGCGCCTTGGGATCGTCGTTGGCTACATGGAGGGCGTGATGAGCGTCTGGGAGCTTTTTGAACCATTCGGTGCCATTTTGGGGCTGCCCTGGAGGTCCCTCGGGACGCTTTTGTGGCCCCTTGGGCAGTGTGAGCGCTCTCGTGGGCCTCGGAAACCGTCTTGGGGCCGAGTTCTGGTGTTCCTGGGGAGCTCTCTTGGGGGCCTCTTGGGGGGTCTTTCAGATTCCTTTGTTGTTCACTCAGCTCGGCCTGTGCACAGTACAGCAGGAGCTCGACTACAAGAAACCTTCCACAACAAGCCCAACCCTGAGACCCCAGGGCGTCCATTTACTCTTGGTGTGAGAGCGTCACGCTAGCCATAGCGAAACCATCGAAACTCCAAGAATCCCAGGGCACCTCGGAGGCAGGCAGGGTGTTTCTTGGCATGGCTTTCCACCTTGCATCGGGAGCGGCCAAGAGGGGGGCGTCCGAGAGGGAGGGGCACAAATCATGGCCGGCGGCATGTGCGCGGCCCAGGGGGGGCAAGGGACGTAATGAAATCCGCCGACCCTGTCGGCGTGTGGAAAACGTATCCTGGTCTCGTCATCTTGCGTGGGAAGAGGAGTGGTCGGCTCCCCTCGGGGGAGGGGAGCTGCCAACGACGCCGCCACGTCGGCTCCAGGAGGGGGGGTGGTCGACTCTCCCCGGGCGAGGGGAGCGGCCGCGACCCAGGGGGGAAGCCAATCTGCTCCACCCCAGACACGGGGGGAAAGCCAATCTGCGCCACCTCGCAGCTTACTCCAAGGGAAGCCCCTTTCCTTTAATCCGTTCCCCCCGGGGGGGGGGGTGCAAAGGGGGATGTGGGGGGGTCGCACCAGGATGCGTGGGGGAGGCCCCGGGCGGCTCCCTTCGGGGGAGCCGCGACGCTGAGGGGAGCG